TGTGATGGATTTAAAAAAAATAATGTTATCCTGTAATGAAAAATGCTCAGTTTCCTCATATACTGTAAACTGATAACTGAGCAGGTGCATGACTTTCCCCCCTACATGACATAAAACATTGACCTTAATCATATTTAAACACACAGCTGTCTGCACGTTGATAATGAAGTCCTCCCTATGGAAACATGTGGAGTGCCCTTGTCACAGACCCAGTGCTTTGTGTTTATTGGTGAACTGATAGTTCTGATTATTATTATGATTTATGCTTTTCTGCTTATGTTACATCGTCAGTCCTTGGATTGTGGTTTCTGTTTTGTATCATCTCTGGGCTTCAGGTTCCTATGTTTCCACGTCTTAGTGTCCAGTCTGCGTCTTGGTGCTTTGCCTCAGTTTCTTGTTTTACTTTTGTAGTCCTTGTCCCGTGTTTATGGTTTCAGTTCTGCTTCCCCGTGTCTCATCATGAGTGCATTTTCCCAGCTGTGTGTTCATCCCTCATCCTGTGTCGTCAGGTTATGACATGCCACGCCATGTATTCCCAGTTTAGTTAAACTCTCCTAGTTTGAGTTTTGTTTTTGCTTAGTACTCATGTGTTGTGTTGCCAAGTTTGTTTTGCCAGCAAATAAAGCTGCTGCCTTTAAGTTAAAAATTCCATCTCTGAGTCCTGCGCTTGGGCCCAACCACTGCCAGCCACACAGCTCACTGTGACAACACTTTGCTTTGATCGTTTCTGTTGTGTCTGTCAAAGGACTGCAGCTCCCACAGATGTCTGCTCTGAACCTGAAATGAACAAATTCTGGCCTCAACCTTGCGACTTTAAATTAAATTTACATCGTATTCTCGTGTCGACAGCTCGTTACTGAGCAGAAATCACTGTTGTAGTGGGAAGTGATTGTCTCCCCGTCCCCAGCAGCAACCAAGGAGAAAGATGAATCCATTTAAAATTGTGATTTCTTTTGTTTTCCTACAGAGGAGAATTGGTTTTCACAGCGGTGGTGAGCAAAACTATTGTTAAAATATCTTTCTATACTTTAAACCCTGCTCCTCATCTCCACTGTGCTACCTTTTGCATGGCAGCTCCTGAGTGCTGTGTGGGGAGGTCTCCCATTTATTCCAAAGGTTTGTTTCACCGCCTCCACAGTTAGCTTCAGCGAGCTTTGTGAAGCGGCACAAGAAGCAGCTGTCCACCCGCTGGCAAAAAAGTTGTCCCCAACGTGTGCAGTGTTTTCCTTGCCAATTTTCTACTGTGTATTTGTGGCGTTTATTTATGATCAGATATTGCGATTTCCTTTGGGAGCCACACCTGCTTTGCTCTTGGTTCCCCCCTGCACCCCACAAACATCCCGGAAAAAATGCTGTGTGAAAGCGTATTTGCTGATCCATAGTTCAGTTTCGTGTGGCCCACCTCCTCCCACACACACACTAATCTAAGACACAAAAAGCAAGTTGCAGTCACAAATCTCCTTGGCTGCCACTGACACTGCCTCATCCATCCAGAAGCAGAATACTGTGGTGTCAGCGTGATCCGTGTGGGAGTACCAACAGTTCACAACCCGACCAACTTCCGCAGCACTGCAGCGTAACGGCATAAGGAGAAGGCACACAAGTTCAGCAGTCATCTCCCCTTCCTTTTGCTGTGTTTTCTGACCAGCTCTGCTGAATCTTCACTTATCTGTATTTTAACACAAGGAGGCGGTTTGAAGAATCATCATTAATGATTCCCTTCAGCTTTAGGATGGATTTTAGCATCTTGAAGTCCAATGCTTCAGCCTTGTTGCTGTTTAGTTACATTGGTTCTTAAACTGTGGGGCGGTGGTGAGGTGAGTTGTGGGTGAACAGGAGAGAAATATAGAGTGGAACTACGTAGAGTGAATAAAATTTTTTAAGGGGAGATGATTAAAACAGAGGTTGATGATGCTGTGGTGCTGATTTCACTACTGTTCATCTTAGATCACAGGGTGGTGAAGTGGGGCATGCCAGCAAAGGTTTGAACCACTGCATTAGATCATTGCTATTATCACTGTGGGTTTAATAGCAACTCCAAATCAGCACTGAATACTCACATTCCTGTGCTTAACACTGGACTTCAGTCCTATTAATGCACTGTCCCAGGTCACAGTGAAGTATTACCTTCAATCAATAAATTAAAAGTAACTAAATATGGCTCATAATGTAAACAGCAGGGATGGCAAAACCATAAAATGCTCTTTTCTCCTGCTGGTCAGGATAAGAAGGAACCCTGTGGCTCCTTTCCTGGGTTATTATGAGATTTCCCACTGTAGTAATTATCTGCCAGATCGCTGAGCCACTCCTTTCTGCTTCATTTAC